AAGCAGCGGAACTGGGACGTCTTCAGGTGTTCGACAATCGTTGTCTCAGAACCATAGCTCGTCTGGGTTGCTGTCGACGAATCCGTAACGAGGCAATGTTTTCGGTGGTGTAACGGGTACTTTCATTGAGGAATGTGTCCATCATCAGAAGCTGCTTTGGTTTGGACATGTGTTACGTATGCCGAACCATCGTTTGCCGAAGAGATTACTGTTTCCCATGCCCAATTCGGACTGGCGTAAACAGAGAGGTGGCCAACGTTTGACTTGGCGGAGGAGTATGAAGGAGATCACGAAAGCTTGGGTGTATGATGATGATGAATACGACGCTCATAGTTTATTTCACCACTCATCCGTATACTGATCGCTAGGAATGTCCTATTCAACTGAAATTCGAATAACCTTCCGTCGTGTCATTCTTCAACTCAATATGCACTTAAAAGGCCGCCTCCGGGTCCAGCTATCGAATTTATTTCCATTTGAACGCAAAAATCCACGATCAACTAAATGTTTTCACAAAAGCGGAAAGTGGAGGTGGCCGTATTTTGGAAATCACAACCAAACTAGCGTAACTGAGAGTAGCATACTTCTTTCGCTTGTTCCTTCCCTGAATGCTTTGTCTTATCTGCAAGGGTCAGATGCAGCTCATCAAAAGAAGCATTCAGTGAAAGACGTTTGGTTGTGTTCCTTTTTGTTCTCCATGGGGGCAACACACAGTTCTACTTCCTGCAGACTACAGGATTGACTACCTAGGGCGTGTTCGCGCGAGTTGGTTCCCAGAGAACAGTGCCACAAAGATACGGCTGGAATCATGTGCCTCTACCCATGAGGAAGTTTCCTGTTTGACCGATCCCGAAGTTGTTTCTTGGAGACAGCACTATACCACACTCGTTTTTAGGCAGTTTGGCGAGCCTATATTGGTGTGTTTCAAAGTACTTCGGAGGCAATCTGGAAGACATTGCAGCCCAACCTCTGATTTGCACTCAACTAACGTGTGGAAGTGGAAGCATAGGGGAGAGGAATTTTAATGATTTTGTTAACATTTGATGAACTGAAGTTGCATGCATTTCAAAGATTGCCGGATATGTGTAGCTGTGTCTTAGAGCATCCTTTTTTGTGAATAAACCCTTTTAGAGTTGATACTACGTGATCACCTTAGCACACTAAGCTTGGTGATTTCTATTTAACGCCGTTGTTACAGTCGTTCTGCGCACTTTGCCCACATGTCAGAAGAAAGTTAATTATATTATTCCTTAGTGAATTTGAGCTTAACTTGTTTGCTTTGGGAATATATATATATATATCTATGGGTCCATACGTGTATCTGAGGCGTATACTCGTTATTCCCCATCACCGACAGTAAAACATCAGTAAAATAACTAGTGCTTTGCTCGTCAGTACGTTGTGTATACACAAGTTCGGGAATTGGACGTGTCATGCTGGTATGATTTGATCCTATTTTGTCATACGGTTGGCGATGGCTAAACCAGCCCTTGATTGCACTAGTTCAAAGACCCTACTTTTTAAGGCGCTCTACTGTAGCTCAAACCAAGTACTTTTTGGAATTCGAGTTATGCTTTCTGGGTGCGGATCGTTTTTGCAATGAGATTCCAACCCAACTACAATCACATAACCGTTGATCCGAAAAAAAGAACATAAATTACAGCCACTCAGCTCAGTCCCTGTATCTTGTTCGCCATGTTACTTTTAGTGTTTGGTGTACCACCTAGTGATACGACTCCATATCCAGGACCGCCTCACTTCATCCCGTGAAGCTTAGGTTAAAATTAATACTGCTGTGACTGACTGAACACCGGCTTCAGAACATTAGTGACGGGAAAAGGCTCACCCAACGGAGGCACAACAACTTTATTGCGAACAAGCGAGTGCGAAAGTACAGGGGACATATTTAAGACCCCTTGACCTTGAACCAACGCTGTCCGGTCGATATTGAGTGATTGATTGGCGTTGCTTCTAGGACATACCTAAGAACCTGGGATCATCAGTCGTCGCTGACCGGCTGCTTGAATGTGCGGTCGGTAGTTGGCTTTCTTCGCATTGCTGAAGTGATTTTGGTGGAGTTGGCGGTTTCCAGCAAGTCTTAGGCATTCTGGGGTTATTTTCGGGAATCTGATCCTCCTGACGGATACCTTTTGAGCGAGTTCTTCAAAGTACAGACAAAGATCACTCAATTTTTACATGACGTGAAATCCACCCCTACATAGACCAACATGCAAACCCCTCGACGTTACATCCAAACACTATGAAGGTATCTGACCAGTCACACTGAAACAGTTTCGTTCCCAATGTTTCAAAACATTGAGTTTCCTGTATTGGTTTGAATAAAACAGCAAGCCTGGTCTTCCGTTTACTTCTGCTGGTCAAAAATACAAATTAAGCATCAATGAATAATGTTCGTTCAGCTGTAACGGTTTTTCGGTACCCGGCTGCCATGCCATCCGAAGGAAGCACGGGGACCGAGATACTCCCGGTCGCCTAGTCGAGATGCCGAATTTAGGTTCGAGCAGCGGACCCTCCAGTTAGTAAAGTGGACGATTCATGTGCATTTGAATACATATTAACGACAAGGCCGTCTGTCTAGGAAGAGGGCCAATAGTGCATCGGCTCAGAGTCGACTCACAGTCCTACATTTTTGTGTCCACAAATGGGGTTCGTGTTCCTTGGTCAGCAGTGGTTTCGGGGAACGCAGGTAACCGGGGTTCTTTTTTCCGAGAAACAAAAAATGACTTAGTAGGATAGAAAATGTGATTTTTGGCCAGAATGCTTCTCCAAAGAAGTGGCCGGACTTCACTTCCATCTTCCTGGTGTTATGATGTTTTTTACCCTTTCTCTTATCACACACTTCGGAATATAATCCGAAATGCCGATCAGTTCGGCCTGTGTACATGTTCACGCAGCTATAAGTGGAGACTGACAGACAACTTGAGAAACAGGCTGATCGGTGTGAAAAGTGAATACAATAGTGGCATGTAGTAGCCTTAGTTGAGCCGTTGGGTGGGTGCAAAAAAGTGTTAAACTACACTTGTTCGAAGTTATGTTCTTCATGACCTTCTCCTTAGTTGTAGCGTTGGAATCACTTCCTTTTCTTAGTAGTTTGGTGTTCTGATGCTTATTCTGCTTAGTTGAACTATGTACAACCAAGTCTGTTAAAAGTAGTGTCTTTCATATGTGTCGGTGCATCAACCGAGCCAGGTTTTGTGTGGGTGGAATCTCTTGGGAATCTCGCCGTCAAATGTACTATGGGCAGCAATAGTCTTATACAAATGGGGTCTTTAAACATTCCAACCGCATAGACCCACAGGAATTCTACGAATTATCCTTTCCCTGTTGGTCATGCATTGTTAGTGTGCACTCTTGTAGCTGTTCTGTAATGGAGATATCCCGTATCATGTTTGTGATAACTAATATTGGGGTTTTCCTCAACAAAGCAATTGCTATTCACTTTCATAGACTGCTTTTTCAATGCTCTTGTAGAATAGGTGGCTCAGTGGTTAGAGCGCGAATTTACTAACCGGAAGGTTCGTGGTTCGACCCGACCTATGCATCTCGGCTTCCCCTGTCTAGACTTGGGTAATCTGGCAGTATCCCAGCCCTCATACTTCTTTCGGGTGTCTATTGTACCATATTTTTGACAGTCGAGCGGATCAGTGAGAGGCGAATCGGAGTTCCAACTACTTCTGCTCGATCTTTACGGTACTCATCTGTTTTCAGGTATATCATTTTGGACGCTGTATGAAGCACGCTTTTCAAAAATGGTCTCGAATTTGGGTTTGGATTTTTGTTGTACATTTGAGTATCTTTCTTACAACTAAATCATTGACTTCAGTAAAATAATGGTTTAGTCTTGAGGTCTACCGTTGCCTGTGCCGCTCACCGTTCAAAATAGAGCTTCAACAGGCCATATGAGTCAGCTCCAACCTCTCGATTTCCCCTGTCTAGGCTTGGGCAACCTGGCAGTATCCCAGCCCTCGTGCTTCCTTCGGGTAGCATGGCAGCTAGGCACCGGAAGGGTGTTACAGCTGAACGCTTTTTTTATATAATTTTTTATATGGGTCAGCTGCTGCACCGGACTGCAACCTAGCATCTTGACGGGTTAGCGTGGTTTTCAAAGTTGACCAGGTCACCGACGATTGTCCTCACTCGCTCCGTTCAATGCAGAGCGATTCATACAGGTGACCAGTAAAACTGTGACCAGCAGCTGATCACTTGTTTTGTCATTAAACCACCATCACAGCTGTCGGGTAGGCCAAACTGTCAGTTTCTCTCATTCCAGACAACGTTTAGTGCTCTATCCATAGGGTATTTTTTCATTTGGGTCAGTAATGCCGCAATGGATCACTTCTATCTTGGTGCACCAATTGTAGTTGCACTGAGAAAAAGTTGAGCGACACTGGTCCGAATGCCGCAAAAGATTCGACTAGGATAATCATGGAAGTTATAGTCAGGTTCGCTACCTCAGTCTGACAAAAGCAGCTGCTTCTAAATACTCAAGTCAGGAAGAACGAGGACGTCCGTGGTTTAGCCACTTAGAGCCAATCGAGAAGTCATCCTTTCAGAACAGTTTAGAAGGCAATCAGTGAGGTCTTTTGCCGTACAATATTTCCTTTTTGACACAAAAGTTTCATCAAGCTAGGTTACAGGATTGACCAAGTCCTACGACATACCGAAAATCAATTCACTCTGGATTTGTATCTGTCATTTGAGATTGGATTCACTTTCGGTTGGTATTTTTTGACGTTTTGTGAATACAGCTTCTGAGCCTTTGTTTCGTTCATCGTAGAGGTTGCCACATTGAGTTTGTCCGTACTACGCGGTCGTACGCAGAATCTAAAGCCATATGACGTTACATTGCACTGGGTTCACGGGATTGGTCGGTACGTCGGTTTATGAACTCGACCATGTTTCCGAAAAACGCGCAGCCACCTCTCTTGTGACGGTGTTCCTTGAAAGTTGCCGGACTCCTTGGCTTCGGGACACGTGAAATTCGTTAGAATTTGGGTTACCACAGGAAATGTTCCTTCGGCTTCCATATTTAATTAATTCTTCACCATACCATTTATGCTACTGACTTATGACGCCTTAGCATAGTGTCAAAAGCTGAGAAATCAGATGCCGTGTTATTTCTCCGAATAAAAACACCGAAGAAGAGAGTCATTTCTTCTAGAACAGAGTCTAGAACAGTGCGTCAGCCACGGCCATTGATGTGATGCTCTGCATGGTTGACCAACTATCTCCCAATAGTTGTCTGTCTTGGGTCGAAGACTTATCATGTTCATGAAAAAAGTCTGTCTTGGAGGATAGTACAGTTATCCCTATCAGAGTGAACCACTCCAAGGTACCAACCAAAGTGTTCTTCCCTGCCGGTTGATCCATTCTGGCTAAGTCAGGCCACGGGACTGTTGAATAGGAACCGGTTCGAGTAAACGGTGAATAAAGCGCATTGCTAGAGCGAATGCGAAAACCCAATTGCGGGTGTCTATTCAGTATACTCAAAGACTGGTAGTTAAATTCTCAAGGATTGAAAGTGTATATGTACTGAGAATTTATCTAGACAGAGTGTATGTTGACCGTAAAGCCCCAGAAGGCATGTACTGAGGAGCGTGCTTTTCAGGCTGTGTATCAGGGCAACCGCACGGATACAAATCAGTACAAGTTTCGTTTTTTTCTCTACAGGAATAGCTTCCTAAAGGCCTTTCTCTGTGTTTATCCGCCAGATTGGGGATACCTGATGTGATGTTGTTGGAACTTACGAATCCTTAAAGTTTCGTTGGCACCTGGTCGTCATGGTAACGACACCTTTTGGCTTTCACCCTTATGCTTCCCATTTTATATCACCTAACAGACAACCAGGACTGCTGTTGTCCATCCAGGTATATCTTTCGAGTTTGCTAAATGAGATTTCATCGTGAAAGTGAAGTTGATCTATGCTGAAAAACCGAGAAGCTCTACACAGCTCCATATTTGTTGGAAATAACCCGCTAATTTCTAAGGAAAGTCGAACCCGTGATTTTATGGTTAGCGATTGAACATTGCATCGTTTGGCCCCGGTGACTCGTCAGCCGTTTGATGAACTTACACCAAACTTACAACCAAACAGCGCACCCGAGCTACCTACATTCCACAGCATTGCTTACACTTACTCCCTATCGTCATAATCCTCTAGCCGCGAAGTCAACTTGACAGATAAAGGACCCATGCGACGAGTCGGTTTTCCGCCCCGAGTAGACTGCCTTTTGCAGGCCGTTTCCTATTTGCCATTAAAAGTACCAGTGTGCTAATCATTATGACAGCAGTCAACATTTGATTTCGAGAGGTTGAACTCTGGTAGTTGAAGCGAAAGTGCACGTTCTTAGCCACTTCGCTGCCTTGGCCAATTTTTAGAGTGTGAACCAGTTTCGCGATGTCTCTAAGATAGTTTGCGTCCATAAACCCTACACTGGTTTTACTTCCATCACATGCGTGATTAGTTAGACTGTGTTTCCTGTACTTTTCCATATTCATTCTATACCTAGTTGAATGGGAGATACTTGTGTTCAAGTTCTCCCAAGGGTCACGCTATAAACAACCAGTTTGAATACATATAGAAAGATTCAGCAATCAGTCACATGCGCACTCGGTTGTCCACATTCCAGTTGAGCCGTATGCAAGACGTAAGTGGAATTAGCGGCTTCAAATCGGGTTCATCTTAAGTAGCCGGCGATGCGACTCTCACTTGCTCTTGTGATCGAACACCGTCGTTACATTAGACAGTTTGTTTAGGTCACCTGCTACTGGCCACTTTGATAAGTTTTTGTGGCTTCACGTGCTAACCGCGTGTGAGATAGTTTGAATGTTAGCGTCTCAAGACATGATGCAACCTGCTTCCCATGTTTTCATTACACCATGTTCTCACCACGGTACCGGGTGAGGTTGAAAAACAGAACATTCAGAGTAGAGCACTTCCAGTGTCGTGAAAGCAGTGTTAGGTTACTCCGCACCCATATATAATAAAAATGTTTTTTTTTGTAGCTGAAATTCATCTATGGTAGCTCTGTTGCAGCCGGACTTTTCTGGTACAGATAGGAACAGCCTAGCGTTTACATCCGGCCATATCAACATAATTACTCTGTCTATTGGTTGTCGAATCCCATTTTCTGGGTCATCACGAGCGATCACATTAATTCCTAACGGGACTCAAATAAGAAACAGGGAGGTGAAGTATCGTGTGACAAAGATATGTGCTCCTGTCACGACATATGTGGCTCAGTTAGTAAGGTTGTCTTAGGTTTGTGGTTAGATCAGTTTCCTCGAATTGCCTGTTTACCCGCATCTTCAAGGCCCACTTATGATTGCCTCAAAACCAAAACAAAGTAACACCCTTTCGGTGTCTAGTTGCCATGCACGAGGGCTGAGATACTGCCAGGTTGCCAAAGCCTAGACAGTGGAAGTCGTGAGGCAGTGGCCGGGTCCGAACCAAGGACCTTCTGGTCATTAAATTCGCGCTCTGACCACTGACCCATCTCGCCTAAAACAAAATATATGTATGTGTTGACCTTCGAAGGTTTGCTTTCAATAATCGGGTTCGTGGAAAGTAATGATTAAACAACTCGAATCATGGTCTCCATTCAGTTCCGATGTTCCAGTTTCCATACTTCTTGTTTTTTGTTTGACCTTACTTCCGAAATGTATGTCACCTTCAGAAATCAATGCAAATAGCCTCGCTGTTTATTGAAGGCTTGCCGTAAACTTAATCTGGAATCTGGTTGGGTCAACTGGTACTGTATGCTCCAGTGTCATCGTCACTGTTTCGTGAGTTTTTTAAATTAAACTTAAGTAACCGATTTTGGTCAATGGAATCAAATTCTTATCGTCACCCTTAATACTCAACAATAATGGTCCCTTCTGATCAGTCCTGTTATAACGCCCATAATTCCTCACTTTCCTGTTAGCGACATACAGCACCCAACTTTCCTAGTTGCTTTGTTCCATTTCTATAAAAACTTCCTGATTTATGGACAAGAGCCAGTCGGGACCCCGCCCCAATGGTGACCGGTTCTGTCAACGATCGCAGGAGTCTTAGTGTCACTTTATTAGAATCTCCAAGATTTGTCACATCTAAGGTTAGTTCACCCTACTCGTCAAAAGGCATGTTTATTGATGCTGCATAGACGTCTAAATCCACGAACCTTGTGAATGATCAGCTCTTATGAATAGCTTGATGACCGATGGTTGTGACTGCCAGTCTTAATCTACTAGAGCCATATCATGGCGTTTAAAACACCTGTAGAGGTCTTTATAAGGGCTATTCGGATTCGCCCCATTTATCATCGAATAACTGCCCAAACCACGAATGACCAGCGTACGACATTTGAGCTCTGGAGTTGCATCTGAACATTCCAATGTCCTGATATTCCTAGACTGCAGACGGGTTTATTTCGAAGACAACTGACGATACCGTTCGCTGGCTTTTCCCTCCCTTCGAAAGGACCGCCGTCTTTTACCGACAGACCTTTTCTACATGATAGTTATTTGATATGTCGGGATTCGGGCCACAGTCCGATCTCCACTGCTGTGTTTTCCGTTCAGTGTGCTTTAAATAGTTTGTTTGTTCTGACTGTCAAACAGGTCATCACTGCAAGGCCACTCCCATGACAGATCTTCGGTTCCTGCGACTTGAAGAATTACTTGAAGCTTTCCCCAACGTCCTGATGAACATCGACATCAAACAAGATGACGACCGTCTGATTCAGCGGGTACGTCTCACTTGTTTGCTTTTGTGTTGTGATGTGGGAGTATGTGTATGCTATTTTATAGCCACCTTTCGTATGGCATCCGCGTCGGGAATAGGACTTGCTGTGCGTATGTGCAGTCATTTTGTCCGATTTGCACCAACAGTTGCGGTAATCTGATGTGTTGCCCGTGTCCATAATTGAAGTTTGCTTGTGACTGGTTATTTCAGTACGGTCGGTCGATACCCTTATGATATTTTTCATAAGTCTCATGCAATCAGGTGTGCACTGAAACTCCTCCGAACGGATATTATTAAGAAATGATTTCGGTCGATGTGCATGTTTTGGCTCATGCGCCGCCTAACCGATTCGGTTTGTTCAATCCAAGGCCAAAAAGGACCAAGTCACCTGAGTTTGACCGTTGGCGAAAAGAAGAGGCCGTGCAGAAATCCACCCCCTGTTGGTTCAATATCGATATCGCTCTTCAGTTGGGGTTAATACAATGACAACATATATCAAGCACTGTTCCTTCGTTCTACCATCCCAACTATTTATCTTTATGAGACCACCGTTTTTTACCTACTTCACACACCCGCACCCGTAATTCTCGGTGAACTTTTGACCCTTAACTTACTGAAGCAGTTTTTGCAAACGTATTGCACACTGTTGACCCTTTTCCGTTGCCATGCACCGTGCGCGCGCATGTTTGTCACAGATTCCATCGAGTTGCCGTTTTCTCTGGGCTTTCTTTGAACTTTCACCAGCCCATGCAACCAGTTGGACTAAAGTTCCCACCAAATGAATACAGCAGTTTTTCGATACACCTCAAGACATCATAATTCTTGGCTTGTGACTCCGCACTTCTCTTTCCGTAGTGCGTCAAGTATTTTGCAAGCGCCTTCCGCCCGTGAAATGGAATATGCCTGAGCCATTCCATAACTTTAGCGAACGTAGCACCGTAGGCGAACGTTTCAATTTGTTGGTTCATGATGAGAAGAGAGCTTACAACAAATTCGTTCTCTGCAGCAGATTGGGGCTTTGATCACCAAAAGTAGTCTGTTTCACAGAACACATAATAACGAATTGCCCCGTACATTTTGAACGTCAAAGCGATTAACTGGTATTGTTATTCGCATCATTACGTTTACTTTCTTCTCACTAACCTCATAGGTTGCAGAACTCTTGCAAAAATTTCACCGTGAAGACTTAACAGTTTGGGGCAGCTTTAGCTCCGTTGTGGCGGCCAAACTGCAGCAGGCCAATCCACGAATCAAGCGTTTCTTCCCGCTTGAACCGGTTCTGTGGATGTTCGCTGGCTACTTCTTCGGGTTTCTACCCTTCATGTCTTTGCCGTACGACTATTTGGAGCTTCCGCTTATCTGTGCTTTCAAGTACGTTCGTTTTTAGTCTACGATAGCCACTTGTCATGTCTTTTCGTGTTATGCTAATGCCAACCTTTCTTATTCCAACCCTAGATCCGTCAGTGTTCGCTTTCAGTGAGAGAACCTAAATGAAACTGAATTCATTCGTCAGAAAATTTTGAATCTGGTTCATTAGTTTTCACTCACGTTGTCATCCTCATCATCATTCTTGTCATTATTGTTACTGTTGCTTGAGGATTCCACTCTGGAATCAAATATCGACATATTGCTGGGTGCCTTAGCAGCTTACACTGTCATCCAGGAGGTGCTATCACAGACTGCACTAGTCTTATTCGAGTCGCAGTCTCAAGTTCCTGGGTTGGTGTTGTATTCAGCAGACGTTGGTGCAATTCGATCCTTGACTTCCTGCCACACCCACTATGGTATATTAAAAGGCGCCGTAGTCTGGGATAGGTCCCTGTGGCAAGCTAGCGCAACCATCACAGAATGTTCCACAAGGTTCTACTAGAATCTTCTTGAGAAGCTCCGAGCAATAGTGCTTGATCCTGATTGTCTGATATTCTTACTAATCAGAACATATCTTCATGCGTAGCCCGTNGTTCGGTTATTAAGAGCGGTTGACCTCCGTACACTTGGTTTGCAGGTCTTCAAGTACTCGAGAGAGCGTGTCCATAGGACAAATTTTTCATCCATATTTGGACTTTGTGGTGATTTGACTTTTACCGTTTGCACTTACAGGAGGCTTCTTGATACGAGTATCCGCTTTTCTCTGTACTTTCACTGCCGTGGGGTAAAATACCCGGCAAACGTGATTGCATCTCTCCGGATAGGAAATTTGATGCATGCTGTTGATTAAAATGTTTGTAGCTCAATTAGAATGAAGACCGTTAGTTTTGAGCTGAGCTATTTGCTTGCAAACGTTTCATCACTAATCAAGAGGACATCTTCAATTCTCATTTATGGTGCCATGTGTATTAGTGATGAAACGTTTGCGCGTTGAAAGGGCTGCACGCATCAGACGTGCATTAGACATCAGTAAACTTTGCCGAGTCACGCATCAATAATATTTGCGTATCTAGTCTGTCAGTGAATGTATACCTCTAGTTGCAACAGGATGCCTACAGTAGCGCAGTGCGACCGGTCTGATTCATACTCTGAGAAGTCAGCCGTAGGCTGTAACACGTAGGTTTCGTCGCCCGTGAGCGAAACCTTGTCATCTAAAACCATTTTGGTGCATCTGTGTGGTTAATGAACATCGTTACTTTTTTGGCCCCTGTGTAAATACGATTTATCTGGGTGGATATGGAATTGACTGTCTGTTTTACTGGACGGTTGACTCATCTATCCTCTGCTTCGGAAGACCATGGGCTTCTTTTAGCAATTTCGCGTTATCGTTTGAAATGGTAGTAGAGCGGCTGTCACACAACTGCGTGTATCATACATTATAATATAATAATATAATATTATAATATAACAATATAGTAACCCTGATTCTGAAAACGACTGCTCCATTTTCGAGGTTGAATATGTTTGCAGCCGATTTCTTTTCCTCCGGAGCTACATAACCAGGAGGTTGTAAAGCCAACGGTAAGCAAACAATGTAAAAAGGCCTCACTGTTCCAGTGTGTCGTAAATTGTTCTCAAAAAATGTAATGAGAACGTTTGTACGGTACTACATGGTTCGCTCAAATGGATATCAAACGGCCCAGATAAGCCATCACTGTGTTATTGGCTTGTGAAATGCCCATGGGTTTATGAATATTGCAGTCTACTTTTCGTAGAGGATGTGAGGCAGGTCTTTCCAACCTAGACATTTTCAGCGTTACCTATTACCTTACCGGTAAGTGCGCACAGTCGACTGGCTGTCGACTTGAATAAGAACGCAATACCCGACTGGCTGAAGTTAGTCTTCATCTCTGTCAATAAACTTGATATCTATCAGCTCAAAGAATGATCAAACGGGCTTTATTTTCTCATTGTTTTGGCTGCCAATGACTATCAGCTGATCATCCAAATTGATCAGTTCGATCATTTGGTCTGCATGAGGAAAAAGAGTTAACCGGTTAACCTTTCCGGTTGTCGTCGAGCTATTTGGCGATAAATTAGCTTCAGAGATGACAGAAGCAATGTTATTGGCGCATAGCAAGACGACATCATCCCGTATTATTAAGCATTCGATATCAAACATGGAATGCCCTGAAAAATCTATACGCAGTTATCTTGTCTGTAATCTGTAAAGTAGGGTAGATCGTGCCCTGACAACTAAACTAATATAGCTTTAGACTAAAAAAATTCGGAGTTTGGCAAGCACTGCCCTAGCCTTACCGAAAATGCCACTTCGTTGAGTCTTACGCAGCTGCCCAAACAGATTAATTCACCCACTACATCGATCGGTTCAAGGTTGGGATTCGGTCCCATCCAGTACCGTAGGAGCGCGGTACATTGCCGAGCTGTGCAACACATTCAAGTTATTTAAAGCAGTCTTCATTTCTGCAGGGTCGGATTAAATACTGTTGTTAGTGTATTGAGTATCTCTGAGCGAACGCTCCGGGAGTGTTTCGATTCTCCGGATGTTAGTGGCAGGCAGAGAAAATCCAAGCAGCATGTCGAATGCGAAACCGGAAAGTATGCCTGTCAGAGGGCATTCTTACTCGACATCATTGGATATGCTGAGCTCCGGCGAGATTTGGCTGTAGGCTCGTACGAGAGAAGTTGGATGGAGACAAGGATTTGGATTGGATGTCTCTCATCGCCAGAGATTTCCTTAGCTTCTGAACAGCTATGTAGTCAAAAGCAATTTCTAAGTAAAACTGGCCACGGTTGTTAGTTTTCGGAGAGGATGGCACAGTTCGGGATTTGTTACCAAGGGAAGGTATGATCTTTGCAACCCTGGCCAGAGTTAAATTCGATCAACCTGCTCAGAAAAATACCACAAAGCACCTTGAAATCGATGACCACTAGATCAATGCTTCAGTGGTTTTCGTACTTTGTTTTTCACTCTCTTGAAAGATTGGGATCATTGTCGTGGCGCTGCATTCTGCCGGTATTATGTCTTTATTCCATATATTTCCATACAAGGTCTTCAGGTTAGCTACATTGAATCTCACGTTTTTCGAACAGTGAGGCATGTAACCCGTTTAGTGCAGATGCTTTTCTGCTCCCAGGCAGTGAAATTTGGCGCTGGATTTCCGTTGCTCATGGAGAACTGGTGTCACGTTCCGTTCACTTTTATGTGATTCTTCGGCAAACAAAGTTGATGGGGGCCAGATGAACCACTTGTCAAGACGGTTTTTTGTGTATAAATTGTATTCCTATCCTATTCGGTCGCCGTTTCGCTAGCACATACCCACCCGTCTCTCGGGCTAACGGGAATAGGTTGCGTCTGTGTCCCTTAACGATAGCTTTCCCAGTGTTCTGAGACCTTTGTTATCCACCAGCATGTTGTCAATTGTTAGACTGGTCAGCTTTCGAGGTTTGGGCCATCTGCGAGTGTCATCATAGTATCGATGATGTTTTCATAGAATCGATGAGTGCTCCTGGTTGTGAAAAGATGTGCATGCGATCAGATATGGACCAGATATTCCCAAATCACAATTATTCTCTTGCCGTTTTATTTGTGAAAGCTTTTGTACCCATTCCACATTGACGTAGAATTATGCCGTAGACGATGAACTAAATGACCATCAGTTTTCTCTCGACGGAAAGTGAATTAACATGCGTGCTGGCACCGTGCCATGTTCAGAGTTAATTTGTGCACCTGAAATACTTGCCGCCCAATTTCTCAGATTTGTATCACTTGTATTTTGCGGTAAGCGAGATGACAGAGGTAATCCTAAAAAGATAGATGACGCAAGTGTAGATGATACTTGTCATCTTCATTTTATGCTTACTGCAAGCGCATCTTGTGTGTTTACTAGTGTAGATAGTACCAGGCTTGCTGTCGTTGACATTAGTGACTGCCAGAGTGAAGCCCAATGATGATCTTGATTTATTAACATCACATATTTAGGTCATCTACTGGTACCATACGCTGTAATACAGCCTTTGCAAGCATGTTTGTCAGCGGTAAGTGTGGGTATCAGATCATGAACTATCCAGTCTCTTTTACATATCCGAACGTTTTTGCGTGGTGTCTTACGCCAAGTGACTTGCAGTCCGATGTAGCCTTAACATACCCTGCCAAACGATGCATTTTTCCATCCAGATGAAAGTATTTTAGCGACTTTTACTGCTACTATTTGCGTGGTCGCTTCTACGAACGAATCCATGCAATTTTCATAATCAGGCTGAATGTATTTCCTCATCGCGATTTTCATTTTAGCTATCCACAGTTTCGCCAGTCCTATTGTTTGCAAAGCTTCACATCGCGTGCTATCATGTGGTTTTTAGACAAGTGAGTTTCGTCCTTTTTGTCTTCATTTACCTGTGGGATGCATTTAGGTTGTGCTGGCACACACTAAACAAACTAGGAGCATGTACACCACAAGTGCCGCATAAAACGTGCGTGTGCATACTCAACAACCAGCTTGGAGCATGAGGGGTGCCTTTGCTCCGGCTGGGATTATGTTCTGAAGCATACTGCACCCGAGGCAGTCTTTGCGTCTGATTGATGAAGATAAGCGAGAGGATTGGTTTCTAACGTCAGTTGAGTATGCATAGAAGTGATTTATCGATTGTTACTGATTACAGCGCCCGATTGGTTGAAATTTGGACCACATCTACCCGCTGAATACCAACTGGTGTGAAATCGGAAGTGGGCTGTTAGGAAATTTTAACCGAGCTTTCTACACTACTTAGGCGAAACGCATTTTATGTTTTTCGTTATAATAATATTTGTACAAAGGTTTTTGAAACGAATTCCAGCAACCAAGACGTAAGGACCCACGGGGACTCAAAATCACGACGGTCAGTTTCGCTGTCAAAACTTAGCCCCTCTTCCATATCTCTTTCCTGTTCGTAACCCTGTGCACTCCATTGAGCCAACTATCCAGAGCCAGCAGCGTGTATTT